CATGCTCAGGCGATTCTTCGCAAGCTGGTAGAACTCTCCTGGAGCGCAACTGCCGTCTTCTCGCGCTGGCAGCGCCCAAAGGTTCCGAACGTTTTGTGGGTGGACCGGCCGAACCACCGCCCAGAGCAGCAGCAGTTGCGCGTGCAGCAGTAGTGTTAGCAGCAGGTGCCTCTCTTATACAACATCCCGTAGCCGCAGGTACCGGTATTTATTTATAGACCTGCATACAGCAGTACTGAGACAATATTGGTTGACATGTATAGGAATTAGTGTGGAGTCGTTGTCATATAGGACTTAGAGTACATCGAGAAATCCTCCCCCCCCCCCTCCAACCCCCCCCCCCCCTGCGGCCGGCCCAAAATGAACAAAGTGGAGTGTGGACCCAGGAATTTGTTTTCGTGTACCCTTGCCCGGAGGGGGGAGAAAATCGAAAAGTTACCATGAATCGTCGAAACGTTACCATGAGGTTAGATGAATGGACAACATGCCTCGCTCTCGATACCCCTGCCGCATCTGCTCGTCATCGGTGCCGGCCCACGCTCACCCAGCCGTGCTACAGCAACACACGTACGGTAGTGCCCCATATCTACCAAACTACAGTACCGACCAAAGCTCGAAATGAGCGAAACAGCTCAGCTAACAACCATCCATCGAACCACCTGCCTTGCGAACTTGCCCTTGCCGCTTCTAGCACTGCACAACAGGGAACATAGTCGTCTCGCAAATCTACTCGTAACCTTGGTCTTGTAGGGTTGTACGTATGACTTGATCAATCTACCCCGCTTACTCATGCGGACCCCTACTTCCGAGTTCTCGCGCGGTCTCTCGCTACGTTTTCTGGGAGCCAGTCGCTTCGTGCGTTTGCCTTCCACACCCCCTGCCCGTCTTCTTCCTCTTCTGCTTCTTTCTTCTTCTTCTTCTTCTTCTTCTTCGTCGTCGTCGTCGTCGTCGTCTTGACCCTCGTCCTGACCCTCGTCCTCGTCGTCTTCTTCCTCGTCCTCGTCCTCCTCTCCTTCCTCCTCGTCCTCTTCCTCTTCCTCCTCGCCCAATATCCTCCAAGGACCGTGTGCCGGCCATGTTACGTCCAGATGCGCCGTTTCCTTCCGTTCTCACAAGTGCGCCAGAGGGGGGGAGTTCGTTTCCCTGACCACGTCGGCGAGGCTTCCCGGCTTTGAACTTGTGGAGTACCTCGGCCTTCTCGCTCTCTGAGATAGAGTAGGCCTCCTTGAACTTATCGGCCCCTGTACCCGCCGCCACAAGCATGTCTTCCTGGTGGCATATTGTGACGTGCTCGGACATGTCATACTTCCAGATGTAGTTGTCCTGGGAGCAGAAGAAGCACTTCAAGACCATGTTGGTGCAGGGTGAGGTATCTGAGCCCACCCTCACACTGCCCAGGTTGAGAGCTATGGCCTCCTGGCGTGCGTCGCCCCGAGGCGCTGATGGACAGGTCGAGGGCACGAGGGGCCTGGCCTTGCCTGCTGGATCGTGAATGGTGCTTCGGCACCCGACGCCACCGCAGAAGCCGCAGACAGTGCTCACCTGCAGAGCCTACAACGAAAAAAAGAGAGGATGGCACCGCACCGTTGCCCAAGGTCTCGCCAAATAATAGCATAGGTGGTGCACAGGGTGATGAAGCGGGCCACGCCGGGGAAGCCTATACCATGCTATCGAAAAATAACGAAGTTGTGCACGTGTTCAGCATTGCACACCGAAACAATATCAAATTATGTTCAATCTCACTCGTTCTTGCATTCCAATGAATGCCAAAAACACTGAACAACACACGCACCTTGTTATTGTCCTTAAAAATGTCACCTCCCACGTGCAGTCTCATTTTCGATCGTTGAACTTCTCGATCGCAGAGTTTGCACCAGATCTTCTCGGAGCCCAGTCCCCCCGACAGGCCCAAGCCCAATGCGCCAGCCCGGACATGGTGTCAGTGTCGTAGATGGTTGCGTCGCGGACGAGGCCGGCGGTGTATCTACACCTACCTACTGAATACGTGGCATTCATCGTCATCATCAGCTTCTCCCGGCCGCACTGGTTGCATCCGTGCGAACGGCACCCTCCTTTTCGTCCATTGAGAGCAACGCTGCTGCCCCCGCCGGTGTCACAGGCGTCGATGCCACCGCCGTCGATGCCACCGCCGCTGTCGCAGGAGCCGGCCGTACTACCGGGGGCACCCGTTGCGCAAAGGACAACAAAGAAGTCTGCTTACTCTTGCCTCCACTCGAAGTCCCTTTCCTGAAAGCAACCCACCAAACCATAAAGTTGCAGGTAGCATGACGCACGGGGGAACATGGAACAGCGCTTAGCATCAGGAAGTCCTCATGTAGAATTTCTGCCTGCACGACCTGCAGGGCAGTAGACAAATAGCCCAGCCAAGCACAACTGTAAAGACTATGTAGGTAGGTGATCATCGCCAGTAACAACAGTCGTCGCCGCGAGGTCACCACCTCTCTCTGTGGTCATGACCGTTCCTTGCTGGTCGACGTTCCTTCTTCGACCTCTGGTCACCATGTTAGATGTGCTTGCCATACGAGCAGATCTACTGTACTGTCCTCTGCTATCTTTTGTCGTGATTGCTGCCACCACCGGTTGTTTGCTGGGCGGGTGGCACATTTGTCGGCTTCATCGCGGAGCTGCCAGAAACAACATGCATGCGCAGGACGGTGGCCGGTGAGCTATTATATAAACTTCGTCCACCATCCCGTTGGTCGCGTGCTCCGCGAATAAGTCTGCCAGGTCTGCCGGCCGTGCACTCTGTGTACGTTGTGTGTGGTCTACAGTGGTAGCCTGCCTTGCTGCTGCTTTGTCTCTTGTCTCTGTACCCGCTGTGTGCACAGAGTATGCATTAAAGCAGCACAGCAGCAAGAAGTGCCAAGATCCAAGATCCGGGCGAGAGGGGCACGTCAAATGGGATGGCTACTACAGTATTGCATACCCATATCATATTTGTTTGGAGATGCCCCTCCCCACACAGTCCAGTGTTCCGGTCCCAAAGCAGGCAACAAGCAACAAGCAAAGGAGCGGGGTTCGGTGTGTACGCGTGTACGCACGACCGCGGTGCTCGACATGCGCCTTGCTCGCCTCTCCCCGCTACCGCTGGTTCTTCCTTTGCTGTGCGTCGTGGCTGGTGTAGCGAGCACAGCAAGCAAGCTGATTATTGTCACGGGGGCAAACTCAGGTAAAACTACTATTACTGTTGCTGTACACTACAAGACGTACAGCAGCTACGTACGACGATTGCGGTTCGCAGCTGGTCATGTTCCAGGCAGGCTGCGTTGCCTCTGCCGTGCTGTTTTGGTGCCACCATTTACTCCGGCAACTGCTGCTTTCTCTTTTGGATTCAATAGAGGGAGACGCAACGACTCAACCCATGAGTCAATATGTACCATATGGTGCTACGCACTACGCACGCTGTGTACATGATGCAACACGAAACGACATCGTTACACTTTTTTAAATGTTCGGTTGTGTCTAAATCCTAAATCCCTCCCCCGTCGGGTATTTCGTAGTTTCCCCCACCGGTTGGGGACTGTAGGGGGGTTAGTGTCTACATACCCCACCAGCTGTATCTCGCCCTACAAGGCACCAATCGACGTACATAGGACTTGCACAACTGTGTTACCGCTGTGTTGTGGGGCTATCGTGGGACCCATCGTACAGCCGAAACGGTTCAGGTTTGGTGCAGCCATGGCTGATGGGGGAAATTGATCAGCTGCCCCAACCTGCCCCACTGGTGAGGTACATGGCCTTGAATACCCCAC